GAGAGAGAGAGAGAAGCTTTGTAATAGAAAGGGAAAATATAGAAGTTTAAAAGTCTCTCAAATATAATTTTTTTCACTTGGACTAACATAACCCAAAATTCTCAGTTTATTCTGAAGCTGCAACCTGTTTTTTCTGTCTTATCTCTTAATCAAGGTTAAGTATTCCTTCTCACAGCTCACTGCTCCCTGAAAAGAGCATCTTACTGTCCACTTCAGAAATTGTCTTTTCTGATTTTAATGTATGTAGTAGACTAAGTTACTTTTCTATCGATGTGAAGAGACACCACAACCAAGGAAATCTATAAAATAAATCATTTAATTTAGGAATTTGCCTACAGCTTCAGAGAGTGAATTTATGACCATCATGGTGAGAAAATGGCTCCAGGCAGGTGAACATGATGTTGAAGCAGTATCTAAGTGCCAAAACTTTGAGACAGTAACTACCAATCTGAGGGGGGGCGAGGGGGGAACACCTCCTCTATCCAGGCCACATACCCCCAAAATTCCACTAATTGACCAAGATTAGTCAAATATATGAGCCTATAGAGCCCATTCTCATTCACGTCACTACAATAGTTAACACAAAAGAAATCCTTTCTCCTCCATATTCATAGCTTATGGACGATCAAGGTCTTCCCTGATCATCCTTATGATATCCTTATGGATATTCAGTGTCTTCCCACCACTGAGGCACTGTAATAATTTGGGGCTGTCAGTTGAAAACTGACATTGAAGTAATCACTCCAGAACTTTTTCACTCATAGAGAGCCAACATACCTCAACTTTATTATTAATTTATTGTGTGATATGTGTATCTGCATACTATAGTACATATATGTAGGAAATAGGACAATATGGGGAAGTTAGTTCTCTCCTACCACTATGTAGGTCCCAGTGATCAAACTCATTGTAAGGCTTGATGGTAAGGACTCAACACGCCATTTTGCCAGCCCCATCTTAGTTTTAATGTGGACAGTGTAATTGGCTCTCTTTATGGGCTAGTATCTCCAACTCAGAATTTTCTCTCAGAAAATAATTTCTTCCATTTATCATGATGCCTAAAGGACCAGGTCTGGTACAGAATATGTGCAAAATCAGCAGATTTTAGGACAGTGACTTGCCCCTTCCTTTCCCAGAAAGAAAATGAACAAATTAGGTTTGGTTTGAAATGATACACTGTTGAAAATACTGAGACAAATTTTACATATATTTTCCCCAAAAATCTACTATGAAAAATGCTTAAAGATCTTATTTTACAGAAGAAATTGTCCCTCAAATCAATCTTTTTAAAGATTGTATAGTGGTATGGCATTTGTTATCAGGGCTAAGCAACATTTCTGCTGAACCTTATCCCTCTCTGTGACATTATGCTAACATATTCATTTTTGTCTAAACACATCTTGTTTTCAACATTTCTGTGCTACACTGAAACTTAGCCCCAGTTCTTTGGCTCACTTGTATTTTGTTTTTATTTTTAAATTACATCTGTTTACTTAAGAAGGAGAGGACACATGTGCCATAGTAAATGTACAGAAATCAGAGAAATTTTGCAAGAGTCAAATCTCTTCTCTTATGTGGAATCTGGAGAGTAAACAGAGCTCATTGGGCTTCATAGATAAGATGTCTAACTCACTGAACCACATGCCCTACTCACATCTACATTCTAATGGTCATCAGGAGAGGTCTTTTAGGACTTAGACATTTAGTCATGGGGCAGTATTAAAGATTGGGGTAGGGGTAAGGAGGTGTGAAGAGCAACTAAGCCCTTTTAAAGGAGACTGAGAAAATCAAGTGTGAAGATCTTGTATGATGAAGATAGCTTTTAAGGGAAACCACAGCAGAAGGAAAATTGCCTCATGCAAATGGAAGTATGTGACATGTCATCCTCACCTTTGATGAGACTGTAAGTGGAGAGAAAACAGATGAGTGTAAACAAATTACTGTGTAAAAAAGAAATAGAGTCAGAGCATGTGGAAGCTTGGCAGCAGCAGGCCCCAGAAGCATGTGTGATCAAATCACAAAGAGGTGATTTGATCTACCTGGTAGAGCAATGGGTCTGAGGTAGCTGGGGACCCAACAGAGAATCTGTCAGGGACAGCACTTATCTCCTCACACTCCCAGATTCCAAACGATCCCCACATGCGGCCTACATACATCCCCATTAGCCTGCATCTTGCAGACACCTTTGGCTCAGAGTATCTCTTCCCAGAGAGGTTTGCTAACATCCAGGTAGAGGGCGTGACTAACAGATTTCCAAATTCATAAGATATAAAGGCCAGGGGGCGTAGCTAATTAAGTTATTCCTCCTTGGTCCCTCTTCCTTTCCACTCTATATTTAAGCCAGCTCCCGTTGGCTTTGTTTTTTTTTTTTTTGGGGGGGGGCGCAAGCACATCCAGATCCAACTATTACGCCATGTATAATAAACTACTCTTTGGAAACCCAGTCAATGTGTCTTCTGGGGCCTGCTGCTGCCAAGCTTCCAACTTTTGAAACTTCAGACTTTCTCCAGTACGTGGGACCCACCTGAGACCCACCTGAGACCCACCCATGGAAAGCCTCTGGGACTCCGTGCCCCCCACCCCCCGCGTGCTTTTTGCCACAAGAGCAGATTTGAGAAGAAGTTGTTAACTAAAAAGAAGAGGTGGGAGAGAGCAATTCAGCCAGGGGGGATTATGAGCAAGCTATGAAATCAGCAAAAAAAAAAAATAAAAAATCATATATCTCAGCACTGACATTAGCAACATTTATTCTGAGAAGCGCTGCCAAAAGTTTTAATGTCATTGAGCTTCAGAATTTAAATTTAAACTTCTGTTCTACACAACAAAAGAAAAACTGAGAGACTGAAATTATCCTAATCAGAATTTCCATGTGACAACTGATTGAACAAATGCAAATCTTCCCAGGAGGGAACTAATCCATTTGACATCCTACATGTTCTCAGAAATCAATTCCAAGTAAATATGTATGAACATGTTTTTATATGTGTGTGTCAGCACATGCATGTGCGCACATGCACACATTTTTATACACTGAGACATAACCCACAGAGAAGAATCTGTTAGAGGAAAGACTTAGATAAAAGATAGTAATTGATATAGATCCGTAGAGAATCAGATAATACAACTGGAAGAGACAGAGTGTTCAATAATGATTGCCAGTATGGTTTTAAAACAGATGAAAACCGAGAAGAAACCAGCAGGTTTCCTCAATTAACAGTTTTGGGGTATTTTTGGCCAAATAATAGAATTTTAGTGCAAGAAGTGGAAAAAATCAATTAATATGATTAACAGTTTGTGTTAACTGCAATTAAGTACACCTGAGGGAAATAAAAAAATCAAAGATTAAGGTGAATAAAATGTGATCTGCAAATCAAGTCTGATAAACCTGAATTGAGTTTGATCTCATGATCCAAGTGCTCAATGGAATGCACCCATTTCCCCCGCTCTGGCACATACACATACAGATACACACACACACATACACAGACACAGACACAAACACACACACACACACACACACACACACACAACCACTAGTAAAAACTAAGTGTTTAATATTCCTAGAATCCATACTATTTTGACAGTAAAGTTTTGCAAAGGATAAAATATGTAAGAGTATAATTAGATAGTGCAAAATTGGTTGAATTCAGATCTCAGAGTTGAATACTTAGAATGTGAAATAATCAATAGTTGATACATTGAGAATCTGAAAATTAATGAATAAAGATGAATATTAAATTTTAATAGATACAAAGATATGTAGGAACTAATTAATAGACTTAGGAAATATAAAAATACCAAGCATTAAACTTTAAAATAAATCTATAACCAGACACATAAAGTTACAAACATCAACACACACCTACACACCAAGTTTCTTATGCTTATGAACATACAATCAAAGCATGTCTTGCTGGGCATGTAGTAATTTCAAACTTTCAAAAGTAGAAATAACTAATGAGATTTCAAATCAAAGAGACAAGAGAGAAAGGGGTGTGCTCATTGGCATTTCTGCATTTCAAATCTGGTCATAAGAAGGATGACAGTGGCTGGATAGGACATATGTCATTTCCTCAGAGTGATCTTTCCTCATATAAACAGTTTCTAGCTCCTGTCAATATATCATGGAAGCAGAGCTGGGAAAAGTGTGCATTGGTACAGTCATGAGACAGTATACCTGTCTCTAAAACCACTCAGAATGCATTTGTGTTTTTTCTCCATCTCAATCTCCCCTTTGCTCCTCTCTCCTTCTCCCTTTTCCACTTCATTTTCTCTTTATATATCCCCCTTCACTCTTCCTCACATTTTCCTTCTCCCTCTTGCCTTCCTTCTCCCCTTTCTCTCTCCCTCCCTCTCTCCTCTCTGTGTCTCTGTCTCTGTCTCTCTCTCTCCTCTCTGTCTCTGTCTCTCTCTGTCTCTCTCTGTCTCTCTCTCTCTCTTTCTCTGTCTGTCTCTGTCTCTGTCTCTGTCTCTGTCTCTCTCTCTCTCTTTCTCTGTCTGTCTCTGTCTCTGTCTCTGTCTCTGTCTCTCTCTCTCTCTCTCTCTTCCACTCCTTGCTCTCACTGACACTCTTCCCCTTCCCTCTCCCCAATCTGATATAAAACACCCTTCAGCTGTCTAGCAAAATGATCTTCTGAGAGTCAAGATGAGATCAATACCTTCCTTCAAATAAAAGTTTATGAATTCAAAGACTTTAAGACAGAAAAATAATATATCAAAAATGTTTTGCTCAAAAAGGGGAAAATCACTTTGTATACAAAGCAGAAATATGTAAGATGCAAAGAACAGAAAGTAAAAGCTAACCAATCAATAAACCAGACATAAATTGTACTCTGCATCATTAGCACATGTATGTTTTAGTATATCCTGTTTCAAAGCCTGCATCAAGACCGCAGTTGGGAGCAATGTCTTCAGATGTGAATCACTGAACACACCAACAGAGGTGATAAATTCATCAAGTTTAACAGTGTCTATGAAATATATAGAAGAGAAAAACAGACCTGTGGCTTTGCCTAGGATGAGTAACCTCACTGTCTGGAACTCTACTTCTGGGGAGAAGTTGTAGCTGAAGAGTTGCTGGTCCATCTGGAGGAAAATAAAACACAACCATCAGTCCAGGTTTTCAGAAAGCATAAAGCAATCCTATCTGTAAACCACTTATAGGTTACAGAATTCTCTCTCAAATGAGATTTGAAATGTGCCACCAGTTGTTCCACAATGCATATGAAGTCCCTTTTCTTTACTCCTTGTAAAACAAAGTCTTTCATGGGGCTTTCATTCCCTTAGAAACCCTTTAGGGCAATTGTCATGTATTAATCTCCCCACTGGGAATTTTCAAAGGATTCTTTTCTGAAAAAAAGTAAGTAGAGAAACCCATCTGTTATCTGCTCTGCCACATTAAATGGGACCTAGCTGTACAGCCCGTTCCCCCTTCTTCCTCCCCTCTTATCCTTTCAGTCATCACTATTTATTTCTCTCCATATTCCTGACCTACTCTCAGGTGTGGACTGTAGGACTTCCTAGTCATGAAGCATACTTCGATAAATACTTTAGGAAAGGGTGAAAATATTGCTGCCACCGATAGAGCTGGCTCATCAACCTGCACTAGAAAGCTGAACAGAAGTCATGGATGGGTTCTCCTGGCCTTGATTTCTAGGGTGCTCCTTTAGTATCATTCTTGGCTTCCAGTATTGCTGAATATGATTTGCTACCCTCTTCTTTTTTCTTCCTGGGCTGCCCCACCAATCTGTCTTGATTTTTCTCAATCTTGTCATATACAGTAGAATCTTCCAATAGCTATTATTCGAGGAACAGTGTGCATATATGTATCAATGCACAGTTTTCACTATAAAGTAATTAGTGATGTGTAGAGGAAACCTGTGCCTTTCCCAGGGCTTCTGTATCTCCCCTATAGCCCATTGTACAATCATCTGTACTTTCCTCTTTTTATTCATTCATTTTTGTTCTTCATTTAATCTGGTTAAGAGGTACATAAACTTGAGCACAACTAGAATGGCCAGTGATTCCTCCTCTCCAGTAGTTTCTGATAGGATAGCTCTCCTGTGGGACTTAAGAATTTGCATTTTTAGCATGTTCCCAGGAGATCACAATCCCAGTGAGAAGGAGAAACATGGCAGTATGTGGTTTGATGGAGCTCAGACATGTTTGATGAAGAAGCATTAGAATGTAGGCTGTGTGGAAAGGTGAGAAGTAAAGTACCTGAATGGAAAGTTCTGGCCCATCTCTGCTCATCTTCACCTGGTGCACTCTTCTATTGGCCAGATTCTCTGTGCTAACGGTGAACATGTGATGTTCTCCCTTGCTTAGTCGATATTGAATCTGTAAACTTCCTTGAAGGAAAAAAAAGGAGAGGGTTAGAATTAAAAATAGCAAGCACAACATAGATGTCATCAAATTGTTCATAAATTGGTTATTTCTGTCTTCTGGGCCTCAATAACTTGGCATCTGCTCATCAGAGTTGAAATACAAACTTCTGAATATAATTAAAGTGAGTGTGCCTCTGTATTGTTGTTGTTGTTGTTACTGTTGTTTCTGAATGTGCCATTTTAAATTAAAATGCTAGTTTAAGATCAGTGCAATGGTGAAATCTTGTAATTTTAACACTTTGCAGACTGGGAAAGGAAGGTCAGGGTTTTCAAGCCAGTTGGGCTACACAGTAGAATTGTGCCTCACAAAAGCAACTAGAAAAAAAAAAGTGAAAGGGGAGATAGCTAGAGAAAGGAAGGAAGAGAGGGAGCAGAAGAGGAGAGTAGAAATAAGCGGTCTACTTTGACTTGCACATCCACAGATTTATATTGTAACTGTAATGTGAGAACATGAACATGTCATGCTTACTCTTATGACATGGTTTTCTTGCAATCATTTTCCTTCTTTTGAGCTTAAGAGAGAGGAGACCTTCCTGTTTTATTCACTGAGATGTAATGTAATGTCTCCAGTTTAATTATGGTCTAGTTAAGGCAAGGTAAACAATCTAAACCTTCATGGTTCCTTAGGAAATTCAAATTTTAGCAGGAGAATATTTTTGAAGACACTGTTCACTATCCACATAGTCTCAAAACCAGTCCACTGAATCCCAACCTAAGAGTGCATTTATATAGTTAAAGAAAACTAAATGGATTTAGTAGAGTCTGAAAGGCATATGAAGGACTTTCCTTTCTTTCCTTTTAGTATGTGAGGAAGAGGAAGAGAATTGAGGAATTCAGGAAGACAAAACAGTACAGTAAAACCAGAATAGCTATAGTAGTCTGAATATTACTTTTAAATTTTAAAGCTCCTCTGTATGAAAATGTGACATGGAAAACAAACATTCACTGGATTCTTTAATCCAGGCATTTACTCATCTCCCATTTCCAACATGGCTGCCTGAGATAGTTGAGCAGAGTGGCCAAGTGCATAACACATGATGGTTTTCCCACTCTTTGTGGTCGTCTACATTGTAGAGTTGGACTTTCCCCCAGACATCAAAAACTCTCCTTGAGTATACAAGAGAGCAGAAAATGTTCTCCACACTTCTCCCTCAAAACTAGACATTGGTAAATACTTTAGGTTTATATTCCCAGAGAGAGCAGGCTGTCACAGAGAAAGTACTATCAATACAACAAACTAAAGAATAGGCCAAGTGCCAGGTTAGAAGTGCATTGAGAACAGTGCATCATTCTACATTTATCTCCCACGTAGTCTCACTTTTCTCTCTATTGCACATTAGTAGTGCTTAGAAATAAAAGTGACTTTTTTAAAAATGGAGCTATTGCCTCTTTTTCAAATGTTTCTGAAATAAACATTTGTAATAAAATGCACTATAGTCTCCACAAGTACCCCATAAAATTTTAGTGATATCTTTTAATGTTGAAGCACTCAAATTATATCTGTCTTATTTCTTCATGTCTATAACTTTGAGACAAATCTATATCTTTATTTCTTTCTCTGTTTCTCTCTGTCTGTCTCTGTGTCTGTCTCTCCCTTTCCCTCTCCCCACTCTCTGTCTTTCTCTCTCCAACTGTGTGGGTTTGTGTCCATGTGTGTGTGTGTATACGTATGTGTGTGTGTGTGTGTGTGTGTGTGTATGTGTGTATGAATTATTACTTGAAAATCATAATGGGGTCTGGTCAGATGTCTCAACAGGTAAAAGTGTTTTATTACTTGGATTTCATCCACATAGAAGGACAAAACTGTGAAACAATGTTTTTTTTTGTCTTCTATACATATGGCATGTCACAATGTATACTCATATAAAAACACACAATGAATATATTAATATGAAGAAAGTGTTTAATTGAAAATGATACTACAAAATCTATATTACAGAAAAACTGTAGAACTAAACATAGTGATGAGGATGCTTCTTCAAAGGAACCACATTCACATCCTAAAAAAAAAATGCCCTCATCAAACTGGACAGAATTGCATCACTTGCCTTATTAAACTTATCTCATTATGGTTGAATTTTTGCCATCTATGTTTATCTATAAAAACGAGTTTGGAATTGAAGAATTTCTTAATATATTTACTTAATATTTTTTAGAGTTTTGTCATTAGGCTTATTTTTTCTCATCCTTCATATTTCAGCATGATGTTGTGTTTCTCAGGAAACTATCTGGATTTTTCAAGATAGTCCTGTTATCAGCTTTATCCTAACATATACTGTGATGTATTAGCTGTAAGCTGTAAAATCTCTAGAAGTCTGGATATATCTTTTAGGATGATATATCTTTTAGGATGTGTGTATGTGTGTGTGTGTGTGTGTGTGTGTGTGTGTGTGTGTGTGTGACTAATTTTTATGTATAGTATGTATATATGCCAGTGTGCATACCCACTTGTTCACCCATACAGGCTAAATGTCAACAATGTCTTCCTTGGTTTATCTTCATCTAAGTTGTTGAAACAGAGTTTGCTAATGGTTGACTTGAAGCTCATTGATAGTACTGGTTAGTCAGGTTAGCTATAGAACACTATAAGTCTTCAGGTCTCGACATTCTCAGCATTGGGATTTTAGTTACAGATCACCAGACCTGGCTTTTTCATGAGCAGTGGGGATCCATATTCAGCTTCCATAGCAAGCATTTCATTGACCAAGCCAGCTCCCCTGGCTTTTAAGAACACTGAAGGAATCAAACAACAATATCTGTAATTCCTATGCATTATGTGTCAACTGTCAGCTCCAGAATGTGCATGTTCTGATATCATTTCTGTCTGTGTATGTGTGTGTGTATTTGTGACTGTGTGTATGCACACAAGTATGTGACTGGGTGCACATAAGTGTAGTCAAGAGACAATGTCATGTGTCCTGGCTTTGTTTTCCATCTTTATTGAGTCTATGTCTCATGGCTCATGGTTGGTTAGTTGGCCTATGAGTTGCAGGTATTCTCTATTCTCAGACTCCTATGTATCCTGTCTCATATTAGGAGTTCTGAGATTATAGACATGCACTATTATGTCAGGTTTTTATGTTACATTTGGGGCTTCAAACCCAGATTCTCAAATTTGTACAGCAAATGCTTACATATTGAGCAATCTTTCCTACTACTTTGTTAGTCACAGCAAGAAAACTACTTACGCTAGCATCTAATACCAGCTTACACATTTTTTTCATCCTTCATACCTAGTAAAATACACTACATCAGGAACCACCCCTCCTCCTTCCTTTGTTATCTATGTTTGTTTCATTGTATCTATGGCCATATTTTCATTAGTGTTTTCTTATCTTAAAATAAATACCCTTAACTTTCTAAATTATAGTATCTGCTATATTTTCCTACTCTTTTATGGTCTACACTGAAAATCCATAGACTCTACTGATGCTTCCTGTTTTTAAGTCCTGTGTTCTCCTTACTCTTAATCATGATCCTATTCAATTTATTTAATCATTCACCTAAAACTGATGCTAATATTGTCAAGGACATTAATAAAGCCAATTACTCATCCACAATCTATATCTACATCTTGTCAATAATTCACATGGTCTTCCTCTTTTATGATAAATTAATTATTTTCATAATATTTCTGCTTCTAATTTTATTCCCAATTCACTGCTAAATACTTCTCCTATCTCATGGCTGATTCTCCTTTGCCCTGTCTTTTTATTATGTTGAAAATCACAGAGGGGACTTCCGGTTTGGGACCGAGCCTAGAGCAGGTCGCAGGCAGCAGCTCTGTACCCAACCGCAGAAAACCAAGAAAAACAGGGACTCCCAGGAGCTTGAACTCACGCAGCATCCCAGGTAAGGAAAAAGCAGCACTCACCCCAAACAGGGAGCAACAGGGACCCACTGGGACCCAGGAATTCGCTCCTGGCCTGGAGCGGGCTCCATCTGGTTTGGGCCCGAGCACTCGAGGATCCCGGGAGGCAGCTCTGCACCCAATCTCGCAGACTCCAGAGGAAGCGGGGCTCGCAGGACCTCTGTGCCAAGCAGGGTCTTGGGCTAGGAGGTGGCAGTGCTTGCCCCCGAACAGGGAGTGGCTAGGACCCACTGGGACCCAGGAGTTCACTCCAGGGCCCGGAGCGTGGGTTCCTTCCGGTCTGTGCCAGAGCAGATCCTGGGAGTCAGCTCTGCACCCAATCTCACAGAACCTAGAGGAAGCGGGGCTCTCCTTGGCTCAAGCTAGCTCAAGCAGTTTCTTAGGCTAGGAGGTGGCAGTGCTCGCCCCCAATCAGGGAGCAACTGGGACCCACTGGGACCCACTGGGACTCATTGGGATCCAGGAATCCGCTCCTGACCCGGAGCCCCGGCCCCTTCCGGTTTCCACCTGAGCACCGAGCACATCTTGGGCCTCATCTCTAACTCAAGCAGCAAAACCCATCCCAAACAGTTCTGACACAACCTAAATAATAGGAAAGACAGGCCCCAGTCAGAGACAGTACTGATAGCACAAAGGTGATCCAGATGGCGAAAGGCAAGCGCAAGAACACAAGCACCAGCAACCCAAGGTACTTGCCATTATCAGAACCTAGTTCTCCCACATTAGAAAGTCCTGAACTCCCCATATCACCAGGAAAACAAGAACCAGATCTAAAATCATTTCTAATGATGATGCTAGAGGACTACAAGAAGGAAGTAAATAACACTATCAAAAAACTTGAGGAGAACACAGGAAAACAGGATGAAGTCCTTAAAGAAACACAAAAATCCTTTAAAGAATTACAAGAATCAAAGGAAAAAGCTACCAAGGTGAACTCTCAATTCTGAACATCTATGCTCCAAATGCAAGGGCACCTACATACATAAAAGAAACTTTACTAAAGCTCAAAACACACATTACACCTCACACAATAACAGTGGGGGATTTCAACACCCCACTCTCAGCAATGAACAGATCATGGAAACAGAAACTA